AAAAAGAACATTGGGGGACTGGAGAAAGTGCAGGGCAACCAAACTGATAAGAGGCATGGAGGAGCTCAGCTATGAGGAAAGATTAGAGGAAATGAATTTATTTCTCTTGAGAAGAGGAGATTTAGGAAGGATATTTTTTTGCCTTCCTCTGGATAGACTGTGGGTATATGATTATAACTTGTTTTTCTATGGTTGAACTGGATGTCTTTTTTCAGCCAGACTAACTATGTAACTGTAAATTCCACTTGTACAAAAGGTCCACATTAATTATGCAATTAAATGAATAAATAAATAAAAAGTGTGTCCGAAAAACCAGAGTGGTGAGTCCAAACCAAGCCAAATCTAAGTGGTACATCTACACCTGAAGAAGAATCTCCACCACCAAAGGTCATAAATGCAGGCTTAAAAGGATGCCATGAGTGTCTTACTACAGAAAAGTGGCAGACAGCATATGGTATCCATGGCCATATAACAGCAGTGAGTTTTCTACATTTTTTCCAAGATATGATGACTGGCCCCAGATGTTAACATCACAGAAATTCCTCCGAATCCACATTTCAATACACTCAGGGAAAAATGGGAATCAGAACGCTTCACACAGTGTAAAATCACATATACAAGGTTAATTCAAATGTTAAAATGCACCCTACACATAGACAGGATAACTTTGAGCATCAATAGAAATTCCAGCTGGCAAAACAAGCTCGCTTCAGGATCACTTCTGGCATTGTGATGACGTCAGCATGAGACTCCACTCCACGCAAAGGTCACATCTTCCATGTCATGAAAGTTATGCTGACAAACCGCTCTTAATACACTGCTCAAAAAAATTAAAGGAATACTTTGAAACACATCAGATCTCAATGCAGAAAAATATCATGCTGGATATCTATACTGATATTGACTGGGTAATGTGTTAGGAATGTAAGGATTCCTGATAGTTTGATGAAAATGAAAATTATCAATCTACAGAGGACTGAAATCAAAGACACCACGAAAATCAAAGTGAAAAAATGATGCAGCAGGCTAGTCCAATTTGCTTAAATGTAATTACTCAGTAGTTTGTATGGCCTCCATGTGCTTGTATGCATGCCTGACAATGTCGGGGCATGCTCCTAATGAGATGATGGATGGTTCCCTGGGGTATTTCCTCCCACATCTGGACCAGGGCATCACTGAGCTTCTGGACAGTCTTAGGTGCAATCTGGCGATGTTGGATGGACCTAAACATGATATCCCAGAGGTTTTCCATTGGATTCAGGTCAGGCAAGCGTGTGGGGCCATTCAATGGTATCAATTCCTTCATCCTCCAGAAACTGCCTGCCTCCATGGATATCCCCAGCATCACTGACCCACCCCAGATCATCACTGACGTCCACCACCAGGGTGAAATCGGTCATGTTGAACGATGCAAATACCAATTTACAGGCAGCATAATGTTGGGCCTTCAAAAAATTGTCAGTGGCCTCCACCTGTAAAAGCATTCCTGTTTTAAGGGAGTTGTCTCATTGTTGCCCATCTAGTGCACCTGTTAATTTCTAGGCACCTGTTAATTTCATTAACACCAAAGCAGCTGAAACTGATTAACAACCCCCTCTGCTACTTAACTGACCAGATAAATATCCCAGGAGTTTAATGAACTTGATACTATACTCTGATTAACAACCCCCTTTATTAAACAGTGTTAATTTTTTTTGAGCAGTGTATATATGGAGCCAGAAACACTTTGGATAAATCCAGAAATACACCACTAATTTTTTCCTGAAAATATGTGTTTGATAAGCAGCTGTACAAATATAATGCAACATAAAACATTGTAACTGACACTGTTTTATTCTACAAGGCCTCTGTTTTCAGAAAATGTATCGTTTTGGGGGGGCTTAAGTAATTTTCTAGCAAAAAATTGTGATTTTAGCATAATTACCCTGGACACAAAGTGGTTAAAAATGCTTTAAACATACACTAGGATTTAAAGGTGAACTCCTGACAGTACTTGGAGTACTCTCTCAGGTGTACTGGAAGCAATTTTCTGAAGTATGTTATAGTCAAAAGCTACAATCACAGAATCAAGGTCAGCTTCAAGGTTCTATTTCTTTGGAGATTGAGTTCTTGTATTTGTGGAGTCTGCTAGATTATGGGTGTCCTGTGCCCTTACCCTCTCTCCCTTGAGTTTTCTGTGAGCAATGAACTCTTTTTGTTACATGTTAACGTATCTGGTGTCCATCTGTTCACATCCAACTAGTGTCTAAGTAATCTACACCCTGAGGTGAAATATCAGCTCACCCTGTCTCTTGGGATACTACCATGCCTCTGGGGATTTGGGCTAGCATTGTGTATGAGGTCATGGTTTGACCACACTGGATACATAGGTGTTCTGTGCATCCGCATGCAGGTAGTCCCATTCATGTCAATTGGGAGGCAAGCACTACATAAACACAGCTGCTGCTCCCAATTTGACATCTGTGTGGGTGTGTTCCCCTGAACGTTTAGAGATGCTCGTGTGAACGAGGTCTAACACATTGTATCACTATGCTTAGTATACCTAAAACACAGAGCATCTGGCCAAACCAATCAGGAGATGTTTCTAACAGTCAATGAGTAGTTGTGCCGGCATCAGCAGTAGAATAAATTATTATTATTTTTATTATTATAATTAGAGATGAGCAAAGTATTCAAAAATTTGATTCGACTGATTCGGCGAATTCGTGGAAAAATTTTGATTCGAGTCGAATATATTCGCTGTGAATTTAACTTAAAAAAGGGTGTTTCTAGGCTTCAGAGAGACTTAATATTAGTGCTGAACACTGTACCTTTAATTTAAATGCCCTTGGAGTCTGCTGGGGAAGAGAAAAAATACTGTCAGTCAGTATGACATGCAGATGAGTGCCTTCGATCTTAGAATCACCGCACACTTCACTCATTTGGGCAGTCACGGGGCCAAAACCAGAGTGTGGAGCCACAGTGTGGCGGTGGAGGCAGCAGCAATGGGAGGCCATACAGCACCCTATGACAAAAATGGAAACCACCAGCAGTGTGAGGAGACCTGAAAGTGGCACATGGCAGAGTGTGGCGATAGAGACAGCAGCAATGGGAGGCCGTACAGGGACCCATGACACACTCTGGACCTGGCAGCAGCATGAGGAGGCGGTACAGGGGCCCATGGCAGATTACGGGCCTGGCAGCAGCATGAGGAGTCGGTACGGGGGCCCATGGCAGATTACGGGCCTGGCAGCAGCAATGGGAGGCCGTACAGGGACCCATGACACACTCTGGACCTGGCAGCAGCATGGGGAGGCGGTACAGGGGCCCATGACAGATTACGGGCCTGGCAGCAGCATGAGGAGTCGGTACGGGGGCCCATGACACACTCTGGACCTGGCAGCAGCATGAGGAGGCGGTACAGGGGCGCATGACAGATTACGAGCCTGGCAGCAGCAACTTGGACAGGAGGACGTTCAGCTTCTGCACCGTCTGGTGCGTGCTCGCAAACTGTTGTCTCTTGGAAACGGATTCCAAGAAAGACTGCTGACGGAATCCGTGAAGAGGAGTAGCAGGAGAAGGAGCATCTGAACGAGCGGAATATGCCAACAAGCGACAACAGGGGCCCATGACAGATTACGGGCCTGGCAGCAGCATGAGGAGTCGGTACGGGGGCCCATGGCAGATTAGGGGCCTGGCAGCAGCTATGGGAGGCCCGTAATCTGCCAGCGCCCTATGACAAAAAATGGAACCCACCAGCAGTGTGAGGAGACCTGAAAGTGGCACATGGCAGAGTGTGGCGATGGAGACAGCAGCAATGGGAGGCCGTACAGGGACCCATGAGAGACTCTTGACCTGGCAGCAGCATGAGGAGGCGGTATAGGGGCCCATGGCAGATTAGGGGCCTGGCAGCAGCTATGGGAGGCCCGTAATCTGCCAGCACCCTATGACAAAAAATGGAATACACACAGCAGTGTGAGGAGACCTGAAAGTGGCACATGGCAGAGTGTGGCGATGGAGACAGCAGCAATGGGAGGCCGTACAGGGACCCATGAGAGACTCTGGACCTGGCAGCAGCATGAGGAGGCGGTATATAGGGGATGGCAGATTAGGGGCCTGGCAGCAGCTATGGGAGGCCCGTAATCTGCCAGCACCCTATGTCAAAAAAATTCTACACACCAGCAGTGTGAGGAGACCTGAAAGTGGCACATGGCAGAGTGTGGCGATGGAGACAGCAGCAATGGGAGGCCGTACAGGGACCCATGAGAGACTCTGGACCTGGCAGCAGCATGAGGAGGCGGTATATAGGGGCCTATGGCAGATTAGGGGCCTGGCAGCAGCTATGGGAGGCCCGTAATCTGCCAGCACCCTATGTCAAAAAATTCTACACACACAGCAGTGTGAGGAGACCTGAAAGTGGCACATGGCAGAGTGTGGCGATGGAGACAGCAGCAATGGGAGGCCGTACAGGGACCCATGAGAGACTCTGGACCTGGCAGCAGCATGAGGAGGCGGTATATAGGGGCCTATGGCAGATTAGGGGCCTGGCAGCAGCTATGGGAGGCCCGTAATCTGCCAGCACCCTATGTCAAAAAATAAACACACCAGCAGTGTGTGAGGAGACCTGAAAGTGGCACATGGCAGAGTGTGGCGATGGAGACAGCAGCATGGGGGAGGCCGTACAGGGACCCATGAGAGACTCTGGACCTGGGCAGCAGCATGAGGAGGCGGTATATAGGGGCCATGGCAGATTAGGGGCCTGGCAGCAGCTATGGGAGGCCCGTAATCTGCCAGCACCCTATGTCAAAAAATTAACACACCAGCAGTGTGAGGAGAGACATGAAAGTGGCACATGGCAGAGTGTGGCGATGGAGACAGCAGCAATGGGAGGCCGTACAGGGACCCATGAGAGAGACTCTGGACCTGGCAGCAGCATGATGAGGAGGCGGTATATAGGGGCCCATGGCAGATTAGGGGCCTGGCAGCAGCTATGGGAGGCCCGTAATCTGCCAGCACCCTATGTCAAAAAATTCAACACACCAGCAGTGTGTGAGGAGACCTGAAAGTGGCACATGGCAGAGTGTGGCGATGGAGACAGCAGCAATGGGAGGCCGTACAGGGACCCATGAGAGACTCTGGACCTGGCAGCAGCATGAGGAGAGGCGGTATATAGGGGCCTATGGCAGATTAGGGGCCTGGCAGCAGCTATGGGAGGCCCGTAATCTGCCAGCACCCTATGTCAAAAAATTCAACACACCAGCAGTGTGTGAGGAGACCTGAAAGTGGCACATGGCAGAGTGTGGCGATGGAGACAGCAGCAATGGGAGGCCGTACAGGACCCATGACAGACTCTGGACCTGGCAGCAGCATGAGGAGGCGGTATATAGGGGCCCATGGCAGATTAGGGGCCTGGCAGCAGCTATGGGAGGCCCGTAATCTGCCAGCACCCTATGTCAAAAAATTCAACACACCAGCAGTGTGTGAGGAGACCTGAAAGTGGCACATGGCAGAGTGTGGCGATGGAGACAGCAGCAATGGGAGGCCGTACAGGGACCCATGAGACCCTGACTTGGAGACTCTGGACCTGGCAGCAGCATGAGGAGGCGGTATATAGGGGCCCATGGCAGATTAGGGGCCTGGCAGCAGCTATGGGAGGCCCGTAATCTGCCAGCACCCTATGTCAAAAAATTCAACACACCAGCAGTGTGTGAGGAGACCTGAAAGTGGCACATGGCAGAGTGTGGCGATGGAGACAGCAGCAATGGGAGGCCGTACAGGGACCCATGACAGACTCTCTGGACCTGGCAGCAGCATGAGGAGGCGGTATATATAGGGGCCCATGGCAGATTAGGGGCCTGGCAGCAGCTATGGGAGGCCCGTAATCTGCCAGCACCCTATGTCAAAAAATTCAACACACCAGCAGTGTGTGAGGAGACCTGAAAGTGGCACATGGCAGAGTGTGGCGATGGAGACAGCAGCAATGGGAGGCCGTACAGGGACCCATGACAGACTCTGGACCTGGCAGCAGCATGAGGAGGCGGTATAGGGGCCCATGGCAGATTAGGGGCCTGGCAGCAGCTATGGGAGGCCCGTAATCTGCCAGCACCCTATGTCAAAAAATTCAACACACCAGCAGTGTGTGAGGAGACCTGAAAGTGGCACATGGCAGAGTGTGGCGATGGCAGAGTGTGGCGAGGAGACAGGGACCCATGACGACTGTTTTGCTCGCTGCCAAGCTGGCATATAGGGGCCCATGGCAGATTGAGGGATGCCTGGCAGCAGCAATGGGAGGCCCGTAATCTGCCAGCACCCTATGTGCAAAAAAATGCGACACACACCTCATCATGTGTTAGGGACCTCCGCCTCACTGGCCCCTCGGCATGAGAGTGTGGGATGGAGACAGCAGAACCTGGGAGGCCTAGATGGGCTACTATGAGCCACTCTCCTCGCCACAATTCTGTCGCCTGCTGTGAAGAGGCGGATGTCCCTCCCCCCGTTCCTGACCGCCCTCTGTTAGTCTCTGCTCACTGTACTGGATGATGACATTCGGGAGCACTAGCCTCTGGAGTGAATAGTGCTGCCTCGACCCCTTCCTCTGCTGCCAGTACTGCCTCTGTGTCCCCTAAAAATTGCCTCCTCTGCCACTCCTCTGCATGTTGTCTGACATACTCCTTAAGTAAACGATTCTGTGTCCCTGAGTAAACAATTCTGTGTCTGTCCCTGAGTAACGTTTCTGTGGCCCTAAGTAACATTTCTGTGGCCCTCAGTAACAATTCTGTCTGTCCCTGAGTAACAATTCTGTGTCTGTCCCTGAGTAACAATTCTGTGTCCCTCAGTAACAATTCTGTGTGGCCCTCAGTAAAAATTCTGTGTCAGTAACAATTCTGTGTCCCTCAGTAACAATTCTGTGTCTGTGCGAGTAACAATTCTGTGGGCCCCTAAGTAACAGTTCTGTGGCCCTCAGTAACAATTCTGTGTCTGTGCGAGTAACAATTCTGTGTCTGTGCGAGTAACACAATTCTGTGGCCCTAAGTAACAGTTCTGTGGCCCTCAGTAACAATTCTGTGTCTGTGCTGAGTGCGAGTAAACAATTCTGTGTGTCTGTGCGAGTAACAATTCTGTGGCCCTAAGTAACAGTTCTGTGGCCCTCAGTAACAGTTCTGTGTCCCTGAGTAACAAGTTCTCTGTGTCTGTGCGAGTAAAAATTCTGTGGCCCTAAGTAACAGTTCTGTGGCCCTCAGTAACAATTCTGTGTCCCTGATTAACGTTTCTGTGGCCCCAAGTAACGGTTCTGTGGCCCTCAGTAACAATTATGTGTCCCTGATTAACGTTTATGTGGCCCTAAGTAACGGTTCTGTGGCCCTCTCAGTAACAATTCTGTGTCTGTGCGCGAGTAACAATTCTGTGGCCCTCAGTAACAATTCTGTGTCTCTGTGCTGCAGTAACAATTCTGTGTCTGTGCGAGTAACAATTCTGTGGCCCTAAGTAACGGTTCTGTGCCCTCAGTAACAATTCTGTGTCCCTGTGTAACAATTCTGTGTCTGTGCGAGTAACAATTCTGTGGCCCTAAGTAACAGTTCTGTGGCCCTCAGTAACAATTCTGTGTCTGTGCGAGTAACAATTCTGTGTCTGTGCGAGTAACAATTCTGTGGCCCTAAGTAACAGTTCTGTGGCCCTCAGTAACAGTTCTGTGTCCCTGAGTAACAATTCTGTGTCTGTGCGAGTAACAATTTTGTGGCCCTAAGTAACAGTTCTGTGCCCTCAGTAACAATTCTGTGTCCCTGTGTAACAATTCTGTGTCCCGAGTAACAATTCTGTGGCCCTAAGTAACAGTTCTGTGGCCCTCAGTAACAATTCTGTGTCTGTGCGAGTAACAATTCTGTGTCTGTGCGAGTAACAATTCTGTGGCCCTAAAAGTAACAGTTCTGTGGCCCTCAGTAACAATTCTGTGTCCCTGAGTAACAATTCTGTGTCTGTGCGAGTAACAATTCTGTGGCCCTAAGTAACAGTTCTGTGGCCCTCAGTACCAATTCTGTGTCCCTCTGTGCTGTGCGAAGTAACAATTCTGTGGCCCTAAGTAACGGTTCTGTGGCCCTCAGTAACAATTCTGTGTCCCTGAGTAACAATTCTGTGTCTGTGTCTGTGCGAGTAACAATTCTGTGGCCCTAAGTAACAGTTCTGTGGCCCTCAGTAACAATTCTGTGTCCCTGAGTAACAATTCTGTGTCTGTGCGAGTAACAATTCTGTGGCCCTAAGTAACAGTTCTGTGGCCCTCAGTAACAATTCTGTGTCCCTGAGTAACAATTCTGTGTCTGTGCGAGTAACAATTCTGTGGCCCTAAGTAACAGTTCTGTGGCCCTCAGTAACAATTCTGTGTCTGTGCGAGTAGTAACAATTCTGTGTCTGTGCGAGTAAGTAACAATTCTGTGGCCCTAAGTAACAGTTCTGTGGCCCTCAGTAACAATTCTGTGTCTGTGCGAGAGTAACAATTCTCTGTGGCCCTAAGTAACAGTTCTGTGGCCCTCAGTAACAATTCTGTGTCTGTGCGTAACAATTCTGTGGCCCGAGTAACAATTCTGTGTCTGTGCTGTGTAGTAACAATTCTGTGGCCCTAAGTAACGGTTCTGTGGCCCTCAGTAACAATTCTGTGTCCCTGTGTAACAATTCTGTGTCTGTGCGAGTAACAATTCTGTGGCCCTAAGTAACAGTTCTGTGGCCCTCAGTAACAATTCTGTGTCTGTGCGAGTAATTATTCTGTGTCTGTGCGAGTAACAATTCTGTGGCCCTAAGTAACAGTTCTGTGGCCCTCAGTAACAATTCTGTGTCCCTGAGTAACAATTCTGTGTCTGTGCGAGTAACAATTCTGTGGCCCTAAGTAACAGTTCTGTGTCCCTGTGTAACAATTCTGTGTCTGTGCGAGTAACAATTCTGTGGCCCTAAGTAACAGTTCTGTGGCCCTGAGTAACAAGTTTCTGTGTCTGTGCGAGTAACAATTCTGTGTCTGTGCGAGTAGTAACAATTCTGTGGCCCTAAGTAACAGTTCTGTGGCCCTCAGTAACAATTCTGTGTCTGTCCCTGAGTAACAATTCTGTGGCCCTAACTAAAGTTTCTGTGGCCCTAAGTAACAATTCTCTGGCACTCAGTAACAATTCTGTCTGTCCCTGAGTAACAATTCTGTGGCCCTAATAACGTTTCTGTGGCCCTAAGTAACAATTCTCTGGCACTCAGTAACAATTCTGTCTGTCCCTGAGTAACAATTCTGTGGCCCTAATAACGTTTCTGTGGCCCTAAGTAACAATTCTCTGGCACTCAGTAACAATTCTGTCTGTCCCTGAGTAACAATTCTGTGGCCCTAATAACGTTTCTGTGGCCCTAAGTAACAATTCTCTGGCACTCAGTAACAATTCTGTCTGTCCCTGAGTATGAATTCTGTGGCCCTAACTAGCGTTTCTTTGTCCCTAAGTAACGATTCTGTGGCCCTAATTAACAATTCTGTGTCCCTGAGTAATAGTTCTCTGTCCCTAAGTATCGTTTCTCTGTCCCCAAGTATCGTTTCTGTGGCCCTAACTCTGTCCCTGTCCCTAATACAGAGCGGTCTGCCTCTGTTCAATGACTGCAGGCAAATGAAGAATTCCAAAATGGCCGCTATTTATAGCTCGACCATTACACAGTGCTAGCTGGCTGGCTGCTGATTGGCTGATGCGATCACATGTCGTTGAGGAATGCATTATGGGTCAGCGCGCCTTGTCTGCGCGCCTTCCCAGACATCCCCGCTCCGTCGCCGCACATGTCAGCCGCCATTTTCGGAAAAATTTTGAATCAAAATTTTTCCGATATTCGACTCGAATTCCACTTCGGCTACTTCGATTCGCTCATCTCTAATTATAATCATTATTCTGCAGCTTATGTTGGCACAATTACGCATTGCCTGTGCTAAATATCGCCTGCAGGAGATTAGTTTGCCCGGGTTCTCTGTGTTTTGAGTCCACTAAACACTAATGCATTGGGGTTAATTTACTAAAACTGGAGAGAGAAAAATCTGGTGCAGTTGCATAGAGGAAATCAATCAACTTCCAGTTTTGTTTTTTTTTGTCAAAGCTTAACTGATCAAGCTAAAGTTAGAAGCTGATTGGCTACAATGCACAGCTACACCAGATTTTGCACTCTCCAGTCTTAATAAATCACCCCCATTGTCTTATATCCTGATGAAGGGAGATTTGTGATGTCTGAAATGCATTGGTTTTCTTGTTTTCTTGTTGCCACTTGTGAACATATTGAGAAAAAAATATATGTCGGTGACATTTTTACCAGGCAGAAAATGAGGAAAAATCTGCAACATGGACACAAAAATTTAAATCGGCCAGGGGTTCTAGATTCCCCTATCCTATTTCACAAAGGGTTTTTATTTCTGCTTGTGTTGCTGTTGGAGATACCTCCCCCCCCACCCCGCTTCAAGGTATTTTAAACACCCAAAGTTGACATGACTTTTAGCCTCTGTAACTCCCTGTATTGTAGTATTTCGGCTGTGGGAATGAAGGGGCAATACCTCAGATGTCCTGCTGACAAAGAACAAGCAGATTGAAGAAGAGACCGGATGGATGACTTCATCATTCTGCTGCTGCTTGTACACTGTCCAATCAGATTGAGAGCAGGGAGGTGACGTAGGTGTGTTGCTTAGCTTCTGCAGAGAAGAGCCAGGTCACCAGGCTGGCTTGTGCTGTCTGTAAGAGCTGTGTGAATCTCGGGACTGGATGAAAAGCAAGGCAAATTGTTTGACAGAAAAAAAAAGCTTTTATATATGTATTTCCACTGTGTATTTAGCTGTTTGTGTGGAGGTAAACTTTTAAAGTAATGTTATATGTTATACTTACCTGCTCTGTGCAGTGGTTTTGCACAGAGCAGCCTGGATCCTCCTCTTCTCGGGTCCCCCGCTAGCACTCCTGGCTCCTCTCTCCTGCCGAGTGCCCCCAGAGCAAGCAGCTTGCTATGGGGGCACCCAAGCAGGCTCACTCCAGAGCCACTGCTCTTCGTATCCATTCTCTCTTTTCTCATTGGCTCCCACTGCTGTTTCAGCCAATGAGGAGGGAGAGTCTCCAGAGAGCCAAGTCTCTTCTGCACATCACTGGATTGCGATGGGCCTTAGGTAAGTATTGGGGGGGGGCTGTGGGGGAAGCAGCACACAGAAGGTTTTTAACCTTCATGCATAGAAAAACAAAGTCACCATGTTTACATTTTAATTAACCTCTTCCCCACCATTTAAGAGGTTCTAAATGCCTGGAGACTGACATTCCGATCATGTGACTGCTGTGATTGGCAGTCACATGATCAGAAAGTTCACGACTGCAAGTATGCATTGGAAGATTACTAGTACCCGCAAGTTACTGTGCTGGTTGCATGCTCTCTGCACAGTAATGTGTTTACATAGGGACGTATATTTGCACCATTAACCACTTGCCTACTGGGCACTTTTACCCCCTTCCTGCCCAGACCAATTTTCAGCTTTCAACGCTCTCATACTTTGAATGACAATTGCATGGTCATGCAACACTGTATCCAAACTAAATTTTTTATCATTTTTTTGACAAATAGAGCTTTCTTTTGGTGGTATTTTTATTACCACTGGGGTTTTTATTTTTTGCTCAGCAAAAAAAAGACCAAACATTTGGAAAAAAAAAAAAGTTTTAGTTTCTGTTATCAAGTTTTGTAAAAAAGTAATTTTTCTCCTTCATTGATGGGCACTAATAGGCTGCATTGATGAGGAGTTACTGGTGGGCACTGATAGACTGCACTAATGAGGAGTAACTGGTGGGCACTGAGACTGCACTGATATGTGGCACTGATAGGCAGCACTGATGGGCACTACTGATGGGCACTGTTAAGCGGCACTGATGGTCACTTATTCAACTGATGGTCACTGATTGCCAGCAAACATGGGCACTATTGGCCTCACTGATGGGGCTACACTGATCATCAGGGCACTGATGATCAGTGTAGATGTCCCCCTGCGAAATTCCGCTTACCGGCTCTCCTCTCCTCACACGCTGTCAGCGTGAGAAGAGGACTGCCGATAACTGGCATTTCCTATTTACCCTATGATTGGCCCATTCCCTAGTCATATATATGTACTTCTGGTGGGAAATGGTTAAAACTTGTAGTTTATGATATAAGTATAATATATACCAAAACATGTGAGGACTCTATATGCACATCAAACATACAATGAGGTGCAGTGTCTTTTGAATTACCAATCACCTCCCCCAGTCTTCTACAAATGTGTTAAATTATTACACATCAGATCTGCTAGTGTCCATGAGACAATAATTTCAGTTCAGTACTGCACAGCTCTGTTAAAGGAAATCTGTCAGGAGAGTAGACAGACATTGCTGACCATTCTTCTTAACATGCTACTTGCCTGTTTATTTGTGCTTTCCATGACTAGTGTAGAAGAGATGTGTTGGCTAAGACCAAAGCAACTAAAACCATACCAACCTGACTCTCTCGAAATACCCCTTCCCCCCAACTCTCCCTTTCTCCATCTATCTATCCTTTCAGTCGTATCCAACCCTTGGCAATTGCATGGACCGTCACTCGTAAGCAAATTTTTCCATGAATTCTATTAGCAATTATTTTACAGGGTAGGTTGCCAGGTCTTTCCCCAACCACTACCATGCAGAAAATCACAAAAAACATTCCATGCAGATCCCACATGGCCAGGGATGAAACTAGGACAATTTAGACAGGAGCCAATTAACCTACCAGCATGTCTTTGGAGGGCGGGAGGAAACCAGAGTATCTGGAGGAAACCCACGCAAGCACAGGGAGAGCATACAAACTCCATTCAGGAGGCACCATGGTTGGGAATTGAACCCATGACCCATTTACTGCACAACAGACGTGCTAACCACTAAGCCACTGTGCCACCCACCTCTACAAATAAAGGAGACCAAACACCATTGGAGTAAAATGGCCTTCACGGCCTTTTATTAACAATTCAACTTAAATAACAAAAAACATTCCTTAAAACAGAAACATACAGGATAAGTTGTTGTTCTACGTAGGCACCAAACAATATTAATATCCCCCTGTGGAACCTTAACCATAATATTCATACTAGGCCTCCAGCAGCAACGCACCAACTCGGAGACAAAAACACACTTTCCGCACTGTAGAACCTCCACCTTCCAGGTAAACCTCGGTTAACCAGAATGCACCCGGGTACACCATACCACAGATGGGTCACAACCATACACTTCGCTTAAAACAATTTGGTGCCTCCAAAGACCAACAACTGCCCCCAAAACGAAACAAAGCAAGCATGGAAAACACCAAAAGCACCTCAGGGGAGGGCGGGAGGGAAGTTTACTCTTCAGCTGCTATACCAGCACTGGATCATCCGATCCCCCAACACTCCCCAAAATCTTCAAAGATCCCACCCCATACTACCATCACCAATCAGGTAACCTTCCCATTTTAGACCATCCTCTTTAACTTAACCCCTTCCTGTCTCTCTTTCCCCTCTTCACCTAGTCATGTCTGCCCTCCACTATTCTTCTCTTTTCTTTTCCGCTTCAGGCACCCCTATAGCTGTAATACTTACAGACCCAGAGCACAGCTAGTGTAGTCAGAAGAATGGAGTCATAAATCCCATTCCATATGCTTGTTTTGGTTGAGGGTTTTGGATAGCGATAGGTCATTATGGTCAGCATTTTTAGGGGAGTCCAGCAATGAGGACATAATTGCCAACATTTAAAAAAACATTTCCAGGGACATCGTTTTTTGCTGTGTGTCCAGCAGGCCTTCGTAGAAGGAGAATGTACTTTAGTTAGGGGGCGGGCATTCATGTAAAATGGGAGTGGTTCTACAAGAAGCATCTCACTAACCTATTAATCTATTTGTTACAGGCAGTGCCTACAACTTATGCAGTGCTGTACATTTAATGCTGGTATTTAATCACCACTGGGGTTTTTATTTTTTGCTTAACAAAAAAAGACCAAACATTTGTAAAAAAAAAGTTTCTTAGTTTCTGTTATAAAGTTTTGTAAAAAAGTAATTTTTCTCCTTCACTGGTGGGCACTGATAGGCTGTACTGATGAGGAGTCACTGGTGGGCACTGATAGGCTGCACTGATGAGGAGTCACTGGTGGGCACTGATAGGCTGCACTGATGAGGTAACATTTAATTTATAAAATACTGTATATACACAGGAAGATTTATCATAATGACAGAAATACAGCAAGAACCATATTATTTATTAGAAAAAAAAATGA